AATCTCACCCAAACCAAACTACACCACCAACACAAATATCGAAGAGAGAGAAAACCCCTCAAATTACCTTCAATGGCGGTTTCCGATGATGTAACACCGATTTCTGGTTGTCGAGATACACCTACCGAATTGACCCAATTCGTTGAACCGAAAATCCATAGCTCGGTTGGATCTTCGTTAAAACCTAGGGCTGTTGTTAATGGTGAAAATGATGATGATGATTGTGGGTTTTCGTTAATGGTAAAAATGATGGTGATGACGATGGTGGAGGTGGTGGTAATGGGAGTCGCGAAAGAGAGAGGGAAAGGGTGGTGGTGGTGGGCTCCGGCGACGAGGTCGTGGGAAGGCTGGGGCTGGGGGAAGGGGGAGAAGAAGTGGGTGGGTGGGAATTTTTTAATTCGGGGGTATTTTAGACATTTCTCTTTTCCCTCCCTTTAAAACATTAACCATAGTTAATATTTTCTTAAAATGATTAACTAAAGTTCCCATTGAATTAGTTTTACAAATTATGGATTACTATTGATAATATATATTTTTAGTGTTTACCATTGAGAAAAAATAAAACCTTAAGAGTACCATTTAGAATTCCAAAAAAAAAAAAAAAAAAAAAAAAAGTCAAACAAAAGAATACAAATTTTCAAATTTGGCCAATACAACATGCTGGCTTGAATTGCAAGTTCTGTTCTTGATGGAAACAAAATGTAATCTGAGTGGCTTGAATTGGTTGTTGAATGGTTATGGTTTTAATAATCTTGTAGGCGTTGATGCCAAGGGTCTGAGTGGTGGATTAGCTATTCTTAGCACCTCTTTAGTTTCAATTTCAGTCATTTCTTCTTCCTGCAATTTTATCTCTTGTAATATCGTAGATGTTTGGAATAAAGAGTGGTCTCTTGTGTGTTTGTATGGTGCTCCGGCGGTGTCGGATAGGCTAGATGTTTGGAATAACCTCACAATCGAGCTCACTAAAATGCATTCAAATTTTTTGATTATTGGGGATTTTAACCAAGTTGATAAATACGAAGATAAAAAAGGAGGAAGCGATCTGATTAGTGGATGGTCGGACTTCATAGTTTGGAAGATTGCTAATAATTTGGTTGATGTGCCGTATATGGGGGTGCCTTTCACGTGGTGTAACAATCGAAAGGGGAAGGACATCATCTATGAACGCATTGATAAAGCTTTGTGTTCAGGGGAATGGATGGATTCTTACCCCAATGCAATCCTTCTCAATTTGCCGATCCTTGTCTCAGACCACTCTCCTGTAATTTTGGAAGTGAATCCCGATGCTGTGAGTAAAAAGAGGCCTTATAAATTTGAGACTTGGTGCCTTCCTTATGAAGACCTGTGTGAGGAAGTACGGAAGGAATGGGCGAAACAAGCGCAAGGGTCTCAAATGTATGCAGTTGCAAGGAAACTAGGAAGGGTTAAGTCGGTAGCCTTTCATTGGTGCAGAGCATTCAAGAGGGATCATAAAATCAACTGGGAAGAGATATGTCAAGTTGTGGAGGAAAATCAAAAAGCGGTCAATAAGCATATACCAGAAGATGAAGCTTTGGATGGCAGTATGGCAGCTAAGTCCGGTGATAGGGAGGTTGAGCTCAGATTGGAGGCACAGGAAGTCATTAAATCGAAGATGTTGTTCTGGAGGAAGAGATCTCGGCTTTCGTGGCACTCTTGGGGGGACTCCAATACCTCGCTGTTCTTTAGGGCAACGAAACAGAGAACGAGGCACAATGAGATCTTTATGATCAGAGATAATGAAGGGAATTGGCTCTCGAACAAAGCGGACATTGAGAAGGAGTTTATGAGATATTTTGAAGATTTGTTCAGATCTCAGGAAGTGGAATCTCAGCAACACATTTTCAATCGGTTGAATGACCTCAATAGTATCAACTTCGGGTGGGAAGGGATGCGCTTAAGTGAAAGTCATGTTGATATTTTACAACAACCTTTCTCTTCAGATGAAATCACTCAAGCGGTGCGCTCTATCTCGGCAGCCAAATCCCCGGGACCTGATGGAATTCCCAGTGAGATCTTCCACAAGTTCTGGAGGGAGATGGGTAAAGATGTCATAGCAAGCATCCATAGCTTCCTTGCTCAAGGAAAAATCTTAAGAGAATGGAACCACACCTTCATAACTCTGATTCCGAAGGTGACAAGACCATCATCAGTTGGGGACTTCCGTCCTATCAGTCTTTGCAATGTGGTCTACAAAATCATCTCAAAGTGTCTAACTCTAAGGCTACGGTTGGTGTTAAAAGATGTGATTGGTCCTTTCCAGAATGCCTTTGTCCCGGGCCGGCTGATGGGAGATGCCAGCCTAGTTGCACATGAGATCTTGACCCACATCAAACGCAAAAGACATGGCAAGCAGCCCTTGGCTACGGTGAAGATAGATATGAATAAAGCATATGACAGGGTGCGGTGGGATTTCCTGAAGCGAGCTCTGGAGGGGATGGGATTCCCGACCATCTAGATCCAATGGATAATGGAATGTGTGTCATCGGTGTCCTACAAAATCCTGCTGAATGGTGAAGCATCCCAGAAGATAACTCCCAGGTGTGGCCTGAGGCAGGGAGACCCCCTATCTCCATACCTTTTCATCATATGCATGGAAGTCTTGTCTCATATGATCCAAGACTTGGAGCGACAGAAGAAAATTCGAGGAGTCAAAATTGCTAGAAGAGCAGTGCCTATCTCCCATTTGTTCTTTGTAGATGATGCTCTATTTTTCCTTCAGGCAGATATCACAAGTTGTCTGCAATTCAAGCAGGTTATGGAGCTATTCTGTAGGGCGTCGGGAGAAATGATTAATTTGAAAAAGTCCTCGATTATCTTTAGCCCGAACTTGTCGGAGGACGAAAAACTCAACATCAAGAATGCTCTCCTAATTCCTGAGAAAAATGATGCAGGACTGTATCTGGGAAACCCTGTGACTTTCACCTCGGCGAAATCTAAGGACTTCCAGTTCATGATCGATAAAGCGACCGCAAAGCTCTCCTCTTGGGCCTCAAAGTCCTTATCTCAGGCAGGATGATTGGTGCTCATAAATGGTATATTATCTGCTCTATTCACTCATGTTTTTTCCATCTTCCTGGTTCCGAAGAAGATCACCGACACCCTGGACTCCCTTTTCAAAAAGTTCTTCTGGGCATCTAAGGGGAAAAACAGGCCCATGCATTGGAGGAGCAAGCACCTACTGGAGCTCCCGAAAGGGAAAGGTGGACTGGGAATTAGGAGTATGAGTTTCTTCAACAGGGCTCTCTTATATAAGTATGCATGGCGCTGCCAAAGAGACCCTTCTAGTCTCCTCAGCACGTTGTACAGGGACAAGTACAAGCATCTTCCTATGGAGGCGGCAGAGAGAGAGGAGGAAAAAAGGCACTGGTCGTGGGGCTATAAGGGGATAGTCCGTGTGGCGAGACAAATGAGAAAGCATACTTGCCGAGAATCAGATGTTTTGAGGGCGCATGGGTACATGGAAAAAAGGCGACAGTCAGGCACGACATTGGCCCTGCAGATAAGGAGAACATCCAGACAGTTCAGCATCTGATGTGTCCGACAGGGAGAAGCTGGAATGTGAGTTTAATGGGGAAGCTTTTTGAGGTCAAGGATGCTAGGGCAATTGTTAGCATGCACATTCCGGAGAGTGCAGTAAAGGACCAGCGGGTTTGGCAGCACACTTCAACAGGAGGATACACAGTGAAGTCAGGCTACAGCTCATTACTATCGGAGAGTCTAAAGCGCTCCTGCTTGGAAAATACTTCATCCTTCTGGAGGATTTTTTGGGCTATTCCTTCCTTACCAAAGGTCAAGCTGCTCGTTTGGAAATTATATAACAATGCTCTTCCAGATAAACCTAATTTGGAGAAAAGAAGGGTACATCTTGACCCTGTCTGTGTCTTATGTAAAAAGGAGAACGAATCCCGGGAGCACCTTTTTAGGGATTGTGATTGGGCCTCCAGAATGTGGGCGGCTTCAACTTTGAGGCTCAATTCGAGGGCGAGCTTCGGGATACCCATAGAGCAATGGATTCAATCATGGGTGAAGGTTCTCTTAAAGGATGACAGACCGAGATGCGACAGAGTTAATTCCTTTTTTGCAGGATTATGGGCTTTATGGACTTACAGGAATAAAGTTGTCTTTCGAGAGGAGGAGGCAGATCCTAGTAACCTTGTAGATAGCATGCGGCGGTGGGAAACCACATGTATGGCAGCTGTCTCTAATAAGCTGGAAAACTCACAGGCAAAAAATAAACCTAGGGAAAACACCAGAGCGAGTGCAGTTGAGTTAGGCCAGCAGCAATCAGGAGCTGTTCAAAGGATCATTGACGTGGATGGGGCATGGAAAAAGGATAAGAGTGGGATGGACCTCCCTAGAAGTGGCATTAGTTGGGCGTGTAGGCGGTAGGCCGATGGTGACATTCTAGAACATGGTGACGAGGTGGTCCTCGGTGATTCTCCACTTCATACGGAGCCGATAGGCATACTTCATGTTTTAACTTGGTGTCAATCCCAGCACTTCTCAGGAATCTTGATCAGAACGGACTGTCAAAGGGCAATTCAACTCTTACGCTCCCCGACGTCGGGGCCGGTTCATCTACATCACCTCCTTGAGGACATTAAGAGAAAGGGTAGTTCTTTTCTTTTCTGTAATATTATTAAGGCTTCTAGACAGGTCATTTGGAAAGCCCATGACCTAGCTTTTAAGGCTAGGAATAGGGATACTGAATGACCCTAGGTTTTTTCTTACTTAGTGCCTTTCAAAAAAATAAAAAAAATTAAAAATAAAAATAAAAAACTAAGAAGATTAACATAGTGCACATAAACCTTGTGAGTAATCATCAATGATCCAATCCAAATTTTTGACCAATTGGTGATTCTGTCAAACTTTCTTTCAGTTTACCTGAGTATTTATCTTTCTAGTTAATTTGAAATTTTTTGAATCTTAAAATAGTTCTCATGCGACTGTTAATTTTGGACGGAGGAAATAACATTGTACAAAAGACAAAGAGTAATAATGTCCTAAATTAATTTATCGGTGTCTCATAGTCTGTAATTACAATATTTTCTAGTAGATTCATAGCAAACAAAAAATACATTTCCTGATGCAGTCAAAGTAAAGATGGGGTTTGTATTTACAGGTTGCAGAAGCTGGTTTCTAATTGAGAAAATATAACACAATGTGAGGACAGAGGACTATACAACAAATAGTGGGTTTCATAAATAAGGGAGCAACCAAACCCTATTATGTGGTTATGCCCCATCAGCTGCAGGACTGTGATTGTATGGAGTCGAAGAAGGAAGCCAAATTTCAACTCGGGTTCCACCTGTTCCAAGAGCAGCATCTGTGTTCCGGGGAGAGATGACACGGACGACACAGCCATAGCTCTCAAGTATCTCTCGTGCTACTGTGAGGCCGGCAACAAAGTTCCATGTCATGTTGTCCTCCATCATTTGATCAGAAAAAAGTTCTGCTCCAAATGGTGTAAGCGAATGCATCTGTGTCTGTAAATTAACAAAATAAATAAATAAATAAAATAAAATAAAAATAAAATAGAGTATTAAGGCAGGCAAAGCTGATGCTAGTATAAATGCTCCAAGCTAAGCAAACTGATCAATCATTATAAGCATCCAAATGCTGACTTATTGTAATGACAGAAGGTGCTACATTTGGCAGATATCAATCACGACAGATAAGATAATTAGAGAGCTCAAAGTCTAATACATCCATGTCAGAACTTATTGTATTTAGAGAACTGACCCACTCATATCCTGATCAAATTTGGATTGAGCCTCGACATAAGAATAGCATACATTGTGTGAGAACTCAGAACTAAATTTGGATTGAGCCTCTACATAAGAATAGCATACATCGTGAGTGTTAAAAATTTTATTGAAGCAGGGATATGAACAAATTATTTGGATTTTGAGTCATCTTTGAAATCAAAGTGGAACTCTGAAGATGAACTTCAATTAGGATATACTAGTAATATTTACACACAGAGTATTATATTTTTGAATGTCTGGAAAAAGTTGTAGCCTTGTTGGTTTTATAAAATATCCTAAGATTAACTGAGAGTGGGATTCTTTAAGTAACGTTGTGACATATGCTTAATTATGAGAGATGGGACAATGTGACTTTTTCCAGCGAAGTGTGTTAAAATTAAAGAGATGATCTTACCATGTAGTGCATATCTGGACCATCATCATCAATCACAACAAGAGCACCACCTGCAGGTGCTCCTATAGAGACGATTTCAACTTTTCCCCCAACATGTGTGCGCAATAGTGCACCCTCTATTAGATTACTGAGGGCCTGACGCAGTGCAGGTTCTTCTATAGCCACTGGCAAGTATTGGGAGAATTCACATAATTCCAATCTACGCTTCTGGTTTAGAGCAAGAGGCTGTGCAGCTCCAACCAAATCCACCACTATATCAGAAACATTGCACGGTCTTCCTAACAAGAGCAAAGAGCATAAGAAAACAGAAAACTTGTGACAAACACGAGAACAATAGCAAGCACTAGAAAATGTCCGCATTATCTCCCATATAGAGTACTTAACAGAAAGGCTGCATTGATTGAATGCAACAGCTCAGCAAAACACTTCACAGTGGCCAAGCTTGAAAACCTTGGCCAAGTGGGTTGGAAAAAAAAAAAAAATTGCCCCTACGTGTACCTGATGCTATGCTGTTGTACAGGTGCTAGTGCCAATGGTGGCATTGGCATCTCTAAATCTTTGATTGCCAAACTTAAAGAACGTTGCTGATCAGAGTCTCTTATCTTATCAGTAGGTGGGTGAGTTGGCACATCCTTTGGTAGTTTAAACGTTCTCATTTCAGGTTGAGCATAACTTGAGCCATCCATTTTTTTCAATGATTCTTCATTGAATCTCATTATGTTAGCCTTTACAGATATAAACGATGCAGTGAGATGATTCAGAAAAACAGAATGGTCCAAAAGGATAACAGGAAATTGCTTTTGTCGACGTGTACATAAGCTGAATAATGACTATATATGCAACGAGAAAAGAAACCACAGCAACATAAGAAGCCTTAACGCCAATGATGAGGTCGGCTACACAAGAATTGAAATTTATAAAAAAAAAAAAAAAAATGCATAGAAATATAAAGCTGGTTCCAACAATACAGCTTCTGTTTCAAGAACTTCACACTTTTAAATATCATAACTGTTTCAGTTTTAAGAAACACGAGGATAGGTATAACTTGCCCACAAGGAATCAAATTATCCTCCAACAGCAGACAGAAATCTAAGCAAAGCGCTTCCAACACATTAGTAATCAACCAGTCAAAAAACAAATCTCAAAGAACCAAGGAAATGATCACATGCAGGTTTATACAACTTATTTTACTTGGTAAATTATAAGTCAAGTTAGACAGTTTTCAAAGGACATAAGTTCTACACAAGACAAGGCTGGGAAAGAAAAAAGTTCCATTAAAAAGCCCTTTAAAAATCCACAATATAATTAAGAGGCCTGTATATTAGATAAATAGAGAAGCCTGAGTGCTCGACCCATCAGACGTGACTTGTAAAAAAAGAAATTCCAAACCCATGCCGTTAAGGTTTCTTCTTCTTCTCTCCATAACATCATGTTGACTTCATTTCTTATTTAGAATCCAATCAAACCAGCCCTTCCCAAAAGCAACCCAGCCAACAAGCACCCAGGCAAATGATCTAATCCTAGAAACCGGCGTATAGAATGTTGAAGGAACCCAATTGATAATAGAGCAATATGATGACAATCTAGAAATACTTCAAAAAATTGCACATGTAGAATCTATATACCAGCAGAATGCGTCTTCCTTTGGACATGAATGTTAAGAAAGAACCCTTGGCAATGGAGAGTATCAAACCTGAACCCCAGATGAAAACAACGGTGCCCGGGGGGTGGGGGGGTGGGGGGGTAGGGGGGGGGGGTGTTTGATAATGGTTAATGGATGCTTCAGTTTCTATTCCCTAATTGCTTTAGGTAAGAAATGCAAAAAAACTGATATTTGAATCCCCAAATGTGTACACATGTGGGTCAAACGTAGGAAATGGGGAGAGAAAATTCTCACCGAAGCCTATTGTGATGGATTAGCTACCATTAAGACTGTATACAGGAAGGGGAGGGCAACGGCAAGTCGGCAACAGCAGAAGGGGCAAGAAACAGATAGCAGAAGAGGACAATGATATCTAATGTTCCACTAGAGAGTGTGGCAACCTGAACTCTGATGTTTTGATACTTAAGCCAGAGCAGGACAAATTTCATTAATTGGAAGCTAGGTTATGTTTGTAGTAGTATGCTGTAATGGATCACCATATGAGGGTCAGCAGTCAAGAAGCGGCAACCGATGAGAAAGGGACAGCAGAAGCAAAAGAAAAGGAAAAACAAGCAACAAGCCTTAACAATGTCTAATTATGGGTTTGCCATTTTAGCTAAGGGTCACATGTATCCATCTTTAGTCTTAGATGTCTTGAGTATATATAGGGTAGTAAACTTAGTAGTGGGGATATCCAGAAAATTTGAGTGAACATCTTGAGAGACTTGTAGCCTCAAGCTACTAGAGAGATTTGTAGCCTAAAGCTACTAAGAGATTCATAACCTCAAGTTATGGCTATCCTTATGTAATCCAATTTTAATCAATCAAATGTTCAAGCTTTCAGCCTTAAATTAATATTAATTGTGCTTAATCAAATCAATAGAATTCAGTCTATAACATATGCCTTAGTATATAAGAAGTTAGCTTATGCAGTAGTTGTCAAGTGTAAATTGTATGAAATATTTTTGTAAGAGACACAACCTAAAGTTGCCTACTCATAAAGGCATTAAGCCACCATCTGTGTGTTTTTTTTTGCTTTCAATCAATCAAACTACCAGCTTCCATCTTTATTTCCTTATTTCCATAGCATAAATATTCATCAGTAATGCTAGTCCATTACACCTATAAAGTTACTCATTCAATTAGTAATAAGTTTTGAGTTGGGGCCTCATTGGGTATTTGAACGTTTAAATCTCCTTCAACATGGACACGGGCTTGCACATCCCAACGATATTTACAATCTGGAGATATAAATGTAAATGGTAAAGATAGTTTTAGAGCCAAGTTAGAAACTAGCACGTATAAAATTTTGAGCTTCTCATCATGGAGACCCATTTAGTTCAAAATAAAGGGAATATTAGTATATTATGTGAGGATAATGGTTAAAAAAACCCATATATGTGCACATATGTGAGTCCCATTCACTCACACATTAAAATAGACTTTTTTAAAAAAAAAAAAACAAAAACAAAAATACTACCCAATACGCTTAAGATATTACTCCTCCCATTTCCAACTGGTTTTAAATAGAGATTGCTTGAACATGTACATTACCTAAAAGGATACAACACTGCCGTTAAGGTAACACTAACAGCCTAGGTAAAATGTTAGATTAACAAAATTTGTAATCTCACAAGTTTTTAATAATGTTTACCAAGCAATTCCATAGTCTAGCAAAGAGGGATAAATATATCACTCCAAAAAACATGCTAGCTCCATCATCAAGTACTCACAACTTCAAAAGATTTCAGTCTCATAATCACCAAAGATCACCTTCATATAATGTTGGTTCTCAGCCTATAGATTTCCACATCCATTAACTTCATAAGTGACAGGATATAGTAGTTCTACACAACTTGCTGCTGCTGCTGCATATTTCTGCAGTATTTCTTACATTTAGGAGGCCCAAAAGCTTCAAACATCCCCTTCTACAAACGTTCACATCTATTATCAGCATAATTCACTACTGGAAAAGAGACCTATATGGCTATATCACAATTTTCTAGGCAAATAATATGTCTGGCAACCTTTTATGTAAGCCTAATTCCAGTCATCAATTTTATTCTGTGCTTAATAACAATGTTTCTAAACTAGAAATGCTTTCTTAAAAAGGAAACTGGAAAGAAACTAGCAAAGCCAATCCTTAACACTATAAATTAGCAGGTTCATCAATTTTAAGAGTCCAGTTTTTGTTCTTCCTCATCCAAGGAAGAGTGGAAGACCTCAATAAGGTACAAATCCAAAGGTAGGCAAAGAGCTATATCAAAAGTTGAATTAATATATTTGAAGGTCTTCAGAAAGAGAACAAACCTTTGTCAAGAGGACAGCATCCTGCAGCTGTTCCAAGGTGTCTCGTATATGATCTCCTTGGACCATTATGTCTTCAACAATGTCATGAGCAATCTAACATAACAAAGTCATCAGTTTAGCTAACATGGACAACTAAAAAGTGAACAATACGAGGTTATATCTCCTAAAATTCATAAGATCAGGCCACAGGAGAAGATAAGGATCACCTCACTTCTCTTGATTTGAACTGCTAACAATTTAGATAGACTCCGTATGCTAGACAATGGTCCACGAATCTGATGATAATTGGATAAAACAGCACACATAATGAGTTCCAGAAGCCCTGTGGAGTCATACACAAGGAAGGCACTGAGCCACACAAAAAAAAAATGATACATTACTTGTTCAACAAGATTACTCATCCGGATGTTATTTTGCCAAGATGTCTGTTGAAGTAGCATTGCTTTCTAGAACAAAGAAAAAACAAGTTAAAGAAAGATCCTGCAAATAAATTAAAAGCTGGACTTATCAAAAAAGAAATCATAACCAATAATAGAAGCATCCATCATTCAAATTTAAAAACACGGTAGTGATTATAGTAATGGTCACAATATTTTCTCTGTTCACAAATGGATTGCCATTGAAGTGGCACATTAACCACGGTATCAAAGTATTATACAATAAATATAAACACTGCAAAAAAGAGTCATACATTTTGGTTATGGAAATTAATCCACCCCTCTTTGATATTGCTAGAGGAGCTTTGAAGAGTTTGAACCAACCCATGAGAGGAAAGGCATTTAAACACTTTTTATCTTTACATTATGTAAAACCAAGTCCCTACAAGAGTAAAGACCTTGCGCATACAATGTTATACCCAAACATAATACGTGCTTGTTTGGTTAGTGTAGGAATGTAATTCCCATAGAAAGTTTTATATCATGGGAATTAATTTCCCTTTTGTAATTCATGGGAAAATGCCCAAACTAAGCTTGGTAGACATAAGGGAATTTCTAATTCCCATGAATTAACATAGGAATTTTAACTAACCAAGGGGGAGCTAGATAAATTATTTCCCATGATTAATGGGAATTACAAAGTCTCAAGAATTTTAACTTCCCCCATTTTCCTTACTTTTGGTCAACCAAACACCGTGCCAAAACTCTAATTCATGTGAACTTGTGAAGCTAAAATTCCTATAATACATATGAAGTTAAAACTCCCTACATATTTTCCGACATACTTCGTACCAATCAGGCAATCAGTACCTAATTAGGTACCAAACTTTCCCAAGTGCTTATTCTCATATCATATCCTTATCCTAAGACATTTGTCAAAGCTCAAGGAGAAAAGCAATCAGCACATATCATACCAAGTTACCAACTGTCTTTACCCTAATAGAGAAGCATCCAATTGGCTTATAAGATAAATTATCTGCAAAAGATAAAATCTAATTATCTACATGCAATCGCGAAAATTCAAGCTAATAAAAGATATCTGCAGGAGCAACAGAAGCTTAAAACTTCTCCCAACAATACAATGTAAACAGGATAGTATATTGATTGCAAGCAGCCCTGCAAACACTGTAAGCCCCACCACCACCCTTTTAATACTTATCATATCAGTTTCAAGCTACATGTCATATCATCAGCTTTATTGGAATCCGATGACAATTAAACCCAAGTGGACTTAAAATTAATTTTAAAACAACTTGACAAAGAAGCGTATATCAAACGTGTAACTGATCTATAGAATTATATTGCATTGCTCAATGTTAATATAAACCACACAGACTAACATATGAGGTAGAAGTCAAAAAGGATGAAATCAAACAAAGATGAGCTACCTGATCCATAACATAAGCCGTAGCAAGGGAATGAGAAATATTAATAGCATTTAATCTCTGGTCAGCTGATAGATTGAAGCATGTCAGTGGATTTCCACCACATGATGGGATATCTGGCGCCTTCGAATCAAATTTAGGGGGCAATGCATAGCACTCTTCTGGAGATGGCAAATGAGAAGCATCATGAGGTCCCTTTTCAAGCTCAACACCAGGAAGTTCAGCAACCAAAAACCCGACAACAAATGGATGTCTGACCATTGGAAATACAACAGATCTACACTCAGGTATTGCCTCAGCCTACAACTCATAAGAAAGTTGAGTCCAAGATAAGTCAATGAAAGATCCCATGCTGAATGATTCAGAAAAAGCCCATTCAATTTGCACAATAAATTTAAAAGCCTACTTGCATGTTTGAAAGAGCAGCTTCAGCACCACGCAGCCCAGCTGGAACACTAAAATTACCAACTAAAATGACAATATCAGACCCATCCACTGTTGGATAAAATGTAACACGTCGAAGTTCTAAACGATCCATCACATAGCTACCAGCAGGCCTGACATAAACCTGCACAAACAAAAGGTATCAACTATCAGTACTCAACCATCGAAAAAAAAAAAAAAAGAAAAAAAAAGAGAACTATCAGTATCCAAATACTCTGTAACTGCATTTTAAAAACCAAAAGGCAATATTCTAAGTTGAGTAAGAACCTTACATAATAACCAAGAAAAAAAAAATGTCTGTCCATATACTACTGATTACTAAACAAACTCTGTCATGCTCTCTTAGATTAGAAGATGTTGTAATAGACTAACTTTAGGAGGGCAATTTGGGAAGTCTAGTATTATTATTAGGTCCTGGTCCTTAGCTTTAGTATAAATAGATAGAGGGTAGAAAGAAGAAGGAGGCATGAATTGGGTTATTGGAAATAAAGGGTTGCAACCTCAAGTTGCTAATAGGAGAGTTGTAGGCTAAACCTACTACCTTTGTAAGCTTTCAGCCATCAATCGAATTATCAAGCCTTTATCTTTATGTAATTGTTCTGTTAAATCAGAAATACTAAGCTAGAATATCAGTCCATTACAGATGTTTTCTTCAGTGTTTTATTTTTTCAGATTTGGACCTTTAGCCCATTGTTGATACCCTATCATGATCAATAGTAAGCAGTAAGCTCAAAGGCAACATTAGGCAAGTTCCTTGGATCAACAAAACAATTAAAATGCCGCATAAGAAACATGGGATGTTAAATATTGCAGGGTTGTTTGGTTGATAAAAACACTGAAAATAGACAAAATGGAGGACGTTGCTTAACTCGTATCCTCTGATTACAAGGAACTTCCTGTCCAAAAACAACATTTTACACTTATTCGGAAAAGAAACTACGGAATACACCTTAAAAGCAACTTATTTCCCACAAGATAAGTCGTTTAACTTCGTATGTTCAACCAAACGACCCTTTAAAACCCCAAATAAACCCGAGCAACATCATTAACATACGGACAGGTAATCATATCGATCAAAAACTAAAGCAATCAATCAACTACTGCATTCTATTCTAAAATGGGCATCCTGCAAATTCTTAAAAAAAATTGAAAAACTTACAGAGAGAAGGGCACTGGGGTCAACAATCCTTCGGAAAAGGGTCAATTGATCAAGACAAAGCTTCTGAAAATCAGGGCTAGGTAGAATAATACCTTGAGATTTAGGGTCCCTCTCAATTTCCTGGGTAAATTCAATGGGAGAAGACGAAGCTTTGCGTATTACAGAAGCCAATGCCGAAGCAGAAGGGACCCACTCACCTCCTTCTTCCTCCTCTAAAATGGGGTTATTTACATACCTTAAAGTAGCAGTAGAAGTAGAAGAAGATGAAGAATTGGCCAAAAATGGCGGTTTTTGGTGAATTGGGAAAAAAGAGTAGCATTTGAAGCAACAAATTTGGGGTTTTTGGGAATGATTATGGTGAAAAGGGTTGGAATTAGAGCAAAAGAAAGATGGATTGGAGAGAGAAGAATGTTGTGGAGGGATTGCAGAGAGAAGATGCATCATATTTCTGGGTTACTGATTGATTGTGTTGGTGTTGATGATGAGAAATGGAGTTTTAAATTAGTGGAAGAGAGAGTGATGATAAGAAATGGTGGTTGGTAACGAGTAACTACTTTCTTTTGCCTCAATTATCTAAGGCCTTTTGAAGTTATGAGATTGGTCTTTTTCGGGTTTAAGTTTAATATTGTTGGGCAGTGCGTTTCTGGTGTGGCTGGCCGCACCATGCGGCAGGGTACCAAATCAGCAAATGACACAGTAATCCTCAGACAAAGTAACTCCAAGACAAAAGTAACCCCTAACTGACTTAGTAATCTTTGACCAAGTAACCCCTGACTAACCTAGTAACCCCTGATCTAGTAACCCCTAACTGACCTAGTAACCCCTGACCGCCGACCTAGTAACCCCAAGTAACCCCTAACCGACCTAGTAACCCCTAACTGACCTAGTAACCCCTGACCGCCGACCTAGTAACCCCTAACCGACCTAGTAACCCCCAACCTAGTAACCCCTGACCGCCGACCTAGTAACCCCTGACTGGACCTAGTAACCCCTTACCCACCACCAACAAAAAAACTACCGCCAACAACCACCACCAACGAACCACTACCAACCTAAACCACCAACGAAACCAGATCTAGAACCCAAAACCACGAAACCACCACCACCCATCCACGAAACCACCACTACCCACCCACGAAACCACCACTATACACGAAAACAATTTGTTTTTCGTTCTTCAATTAAACAAAAAATTAAGTAATTAAATTTAACAACTTACAAGTTATATAATCAAAATCTTCAGCAAATAAGCTTGAATTCAACATAAAAGTTGTAGAACATAAATTTCCAAAAGTAAACCATTAATGAAGTTTGAAGAAATTTGGGCTAAGAAAATGACACCATTAATGAAGTTTAAAGAAAAAAGAGGATAGAGGAATAAAATTGGGGGAAAAAGGAAAATGTTATAGAAGATGAAAGAAGAACAGAGGAGAGAGAAATAAAATTGGGGGAAAAAGAAAAATGTTGTAGAAGATGGAAGAAGAAAAGAGGAGAGAGAAAGAGGGGAGAGAAGAAAAAATAAAAAATATATATATGGCCGGCGTACGGCCAGCCGTATATGAAACTTTACTATTGTTGGGTTAATATAAAGGATAAAGATGATTATATCATCATTATCATTATTAGTTATTGTTTAGAATATTTAAATTCCTTGATTTACTCCTTAATTTTGATAGTCAAAGTATATCCCTTATAATTAGCTAATGTAGTCGTAGTTTGGTATGTTCAATGTTCTAATCTTGTACTACATATACTCGTGTATATTCATCAATATAATCCAGCTTTCCACTACTCATTCTTAATATCTTATCATGGTATCATGAGCTTTTGATCCATCTTTTCTTGCTTCCGCTACTACCATGGTTACACTATCAAAACCCTTTGTTGATGGCGACAAATGATGGTAACCATATCAAAATTTCTTCTCGGAAAGCTTCAAACCAAAATCACACTTTTCGCTCAACTCTTTTGGCGCCCCGTATTTCATATACCAAGAGATGTCATTGACATTTTTTTTTCTCCAAACCCCTTACACGGAGAAACAAACCTTTTTCGATATCCCGTAGTTTACCTACCATTTGTTACCATATACGAAATTCTCTCCAAAACCATTATGGAGAAACACAGCATTCTGTTCTAACCAGCATCTCCACCATTATAGTTTTTCTATCTCGCCTTCAACGGTGGTGAAGGAACCTCTATATTTTTTTCCTCCCATTTGTTGCAAGCATACACTAGCAAATTTCTTTTGTTATTTTTTTTGAATATTTTCAATCAATGGTTCATGTGTTTAAAAACCGTGAAAAGCACTCATTAAACAACTTCTTATTCTCTCTCTATATATATACACTATCTTTTTACTTCTCCACGTAGCTCCTCCATCCAAAAAAAAGAAGCTCCTTTAATACACTTACTTTTTTTAAAAAAAAAACCCTTCTAATGCTTCACTCCCTCCAAACCTTATTGGAGAATCACAATGCAATGCAATGCAATCTTTCTCACCACCACTTCAATTCCTACATTGAACAAGATTTGAGATGTTATATCCAAGATCGGTCTCTCGTTTCGAGCGTCCATCTTACGGGAGCGTATAAAGGATAAAGGCTCTGTTTGGTTTGATGTAATATGTTTTCATGGAAAATGAATTTTCCATTTTTTCCCATTTTCCTTTGTTTGGTTTGTTAAGGAGTGGAAAACAATTTTTCAAGGGTGGAAAACAATTTTTCAAGGGTGGAAAATTCCATCCTTAATGATGGAAAACATTTTTCTTCCAAAAACAAGGGAAGCCACATTTTCCTCTCTCCTCCTTACCTGTTTTTTTACTTTCCACTCATTCATCCTTACATTTCCACTCTTATTTTTTTATTTTTCTTGGACTTTTCTTGTATGCAACCAAACAAAGGAAAACTAATTTGCAATTGTGTTTTTCTTGAAAATATGTTTTCCATGAAAACTAATTTTCCATTGAAAATGTTTTACATTAAACCAAACAGGGCCAAAGATTATTATATCATTATTAGTTATTGTTTAGAATATGTAAATCCCTTGATTTACTCCTTAATTTTGATTGTCAAAGTATATCCCTTATAATTAGCTAACGTACCTAGTCACATATTGTTTCTAGTCATAGTTTGGTATGTTCAATATTCTAATCTTGTACTATATATACTCGTGTTTGCCAAGAAATTTTAAATTATCTACTTAGTTAACCGAGGCTAGCACTGGAACAAGTGTTGCTAAGTAAAAGTAATGGTGGCCAAGGGACCAAGCATCGGTCTATGCTTTGGGGTGTTGAATAGTTAATGTTGTTGTTATCTGAACACGACCATGCCTAGGCCCTTGGGGTGTTGATGCTGCTACTATAAGTCTACAACTTATCCAAGGCATGAGAAGATATGTTGAGCCTACAACCTCATCCTTAAAAAATAAAAATAAAAAAAATAAAAAAAAAATACTTGGTAATAAAGGGTAGTGTATTGGCTTACCTTAAGGCCAAGGCAAGAGAAAGCAATGCAAAGAGGCCTAAGGCAACACAAGGCCAAGCTAAGCAATGCATTTGGAGACATGATCTTGAGGAGGAAGAGAGATTAAAGCATAAATGAGATGATTTTGGACACCAAGTAGGTCTTGTAGGGCTTAATGGAAACCCCGATAAACATCTGGGTTTAGGCAACCCGAATCAAGGAGCGAGGAGGAGTATTTGGTCCACAAACACAAAAAGACTTGAGTAGACCTGGTCTACAATAACATTATTGTGGATCCGAAATTTATACACACGTAACTGACATTATATTGAACATAATGACCCTTATTTTTTTAAAGTGAATTTTTTTTTATTAAATTAATAAAACAACCATAGTTTCCATATAAGTGATCCACAATAAATTATTGTAAACCAGGTTTATTTAAGAATTTACCCCCACAAACAAGGTTTAGGAGCTTCTATACTAAAACTAATTGGCAACAATAGAAGTAACTCCTCTACCTTATAAAGTGAAACTAACTCTCCTCTTTCTCTAATGTGGGACATTTATAAGTGGGTTACAATAGGTTTCAACAACTCTCATTCATCCCAAATCTAGAATATTTGAAAATTGTCAAAAGTTGAAAGCGAATACTATGCTTTAAATTCATGATTTTTTTTAAAGAATTTAAATGAATGTAGTAGGGGTCTCTCCCGATATCAAATTTTTTAGTCTTTACTACCACACTATGTTTGAATTGTCATTTAGAGCGATAACTGGATTGAGTTAGTTTTTTTAAGTATAACATTATCAATAAATTTCATGTATTAAATACTCGTAGTATAAATTTTCTTGTTTTACATAGGGGGCAAACACCATTAAGACTGTTAAATGTACAGTCTCATGAGTTATTGAATGGGAGAGATGTTTCGAAGGCCAAGCATTAAATTACCAAAAATACAGAGTTAAAAAAAATGTTTGGAAAAAAAAAAATCAAAATAATTCCAAAAGATAGATTATAATGCAAACATAATTCAATCTAATATTTTTTTGACATATCAATAGACATTGGATTTGGCATTAAGCCATGGTTGTCTAAATTTGATAATTTCCCACCATATCAATTTCAAAACATTGACCATTTTTAATTTCTTTCTAACACCATCTTTAGACCCTAAACTCCTAAAGTTTCCCTCTTAACGGCTCGAAGCGCAATAGTAACCCTACGATCTTCCACTAATCACAGTTTGACTTTCTCTCTCCTCCCACTTTGACCAACACCATTAATTTAACCTCTTCTTCTTCTAGCCGTTAGAATTTTAGAACTTTTTCAGTCTTCCTTTCTCAAAATGCCCTGCATTCCAGCGAAACCCAGAATCATAGTGACCTGCAATACACAATTTCTCTCTCTTAATTCATCCTATTCTGATCTTCCAATTGAAATGGGTAAAGATTTGGAACCCTGTAATTTAGTTTCTGAATCTGAATCTTTAATCCCTGTTGTAGAAAACCCAAAATTTGTTTGTTCTTTGAAGCGTAAAAGACCCCCGAAAATTCAAATCCCTAATGTATTGCAGGAAATTTTGGTTGATACCCAGATTAAATTTGGGTGTTCTCCTGTTAAAAATGATGAAATTTATTGTTTTGAGGATTTGGGTGTTGGGGTTTGTTCAATTAAGGGTAAGAAAAAGTTTATGGAAGATACCCACAAGATTGTTTCTTCCATTGGCGGCAATGCGAAGAAGGTATGTTAATGCACACCAATTGTTTGTCAAAATGCGGCTTTGTATTTTGTAGTGTTATTTTATTGTATTGAGACTAAAATAGTGAAATTTGTTTGATTTTTCAGGGTTTTTTTGGGGTTTATGATGGGCATGGAGGGAGAAAAGCGGCTGAGTTTGTAGCAGAGAGTTTACATAAGAATGTCATTGAGTTGCTTCATAATTGTGATGGAAATATGGCTAAGGAAGAAGCAGTAAAAGCAGCTTATCTTAAAACAGATAGAGAATTCTTGGAGCAGGTAACTTTTGAGGCACAGCTTTCTTTAATTGTTTATCGTTTATATGCTAAGTTACTATAAATATATAATTGTATGTAATCTAATGAATGTAAAACTTTTCTTGGAGCTTTCTTCCAAAAAGATGTTGTAAAGATTCTTGTTCTGTATGTAGTTGTCTTCATCAATAAGTTGATGTTTGGTCAAATGCCTGTTGTTTTTGTATGGACTATTCCTTTGAGTGGCCTATGGACAGTATTTTTGTTTGTTAGACATGCAAATTGCTATTCAATTCAAATCATGTTAAAATTTGGCAGTTCATTTTGAGGTTGTTTGGTGGATTAAGTTAATGTTGCTAATATATCTCTAATCCAGTGAGAATGCAATGATTTTTTATTTTTTATTTAATTCCGTAAGAAGCTGCAATTTTGAGTTTCATAACAAATCTTTGTAGTGTATGCTATAGTACTAAGTAAGAAGCTAAAACACTATAGTGTAGATAATATATCAAGCAATAATTTCACATTTTAATTTTTTCAAAAAGTTAATATTATGATCACAGTGGGACATTTGAAGTGTATGATTCATTGATTCGTGCAAGCTAAATGTTTGCTTTGCTGCATGTTTATCATAGTTATTGAGTATTTTTCCTCACACCCTTTTCTTCTATTCAGGAAGTAAGCAGTGGTTCCTGTTGTGTCACAGCTCTGATAGAAGGGTCAGAGATGGTTGTCTCAAATTTGGGAGACTGCAGGGCTGTTCTTTGTAGAGGTGGAGTGGCAGAGGCTCTCACAAAGGACCATAGAGCCGGGATGGAGGAAGAGCGGAAAAGAATCGAGGATAAGGTACCTTATAGCGCTTCTATATGGTTATGGACCTTATGGTCATAATTAAACATACATAGCTTCAAATAAAAGATCTAAAATAATGGTGCTTTTTCAATGGTTATTTTTTTTTTTTTTTTTTTTTTTTTTATAGGGAGGGTATGTAGAATTCCATAAGGGAGCTTGGAGAGTTCACGGAGTATTGTCAGTTTCGAGAAGTATTGGAGATGCTCATCTAAAACATTGGGTGGTGTCACAGCCACATTCAACAATTTTGGATTTGACTCCTGATATGGATTTTCTTGTCTTAGCTTCTGATGGACTTTGGGAAGAGGTAACAATTTATTGCTGTTCTCCATACACTTGCCTGTTGATATTGTATTTTGCTGGTATAATTTGTGGTCATTCTGTGTATTTCTGTTCATGTTCTTGTTCTTTGTGCTACATACTTTGCTTGATCTTTTTTTTTTTTAAATGGTTTGTTTCCAATATTATATAATTGTCTTAAAATCTATTTTTTCTAAGTGTCCTATTTTATTTTCTGGCTTTTGTATTACACGGTTTCTTCGGGATGAGAATTGGCTCTATTCTTCTATACTGTAATAGATAGTTGCGGGTGTTCTGTGTGTACTCCCTAGCTTAGTTATATTATTAAGAAATTACAGTCGAAGTTGAGCCTGTCGGCAAAAAACTTAACATATTCAGCTGAAAGAGCATAATTGTTGTGAACGGAATTAGTGCACTTACCCTTAAGCTTTTGAAGCATCAATCACATTATTCATTTATGTGGCTTATCCTAGCAATCATGCCACTGGTACTTACAGTGGGAGACATTATTGAATTTAATAACAATCATTTTTTTTGTTTTTCCTATTCAATAGGTTGGAAACCAAGAGGCGATTGACATTGTGCAGCAGTCTTGTATATTTGACAAGAAACCTGAACTTCCAATTGATGGTTCAAATAATAAAATCCAGAGGAGCTTAAAGGTGAATGATGATGATTATGCTTGTGTCAGCACAAGCTCCTCTCCGAAGGTGAAACGGGTTTCCCTCAACAGGCAGAAAAAGAAGACAACACTTTCTCCATCTCTAAGCTTCAGGAAGACGGACAATTCAATCATGGCAAAGGAAGATGTTTCTTACTTCGATAATAATAATCTCAGTCCTGTAAAATTAGGAATAACTTCAGTGTTTTCGAACAAGAACATGAAAACTCCCTCTCCATCTCCAAGCTACAACTCCTACAAGAAGATAGAAAAGGATGGCCTTTCTGACTTTGACAGTGAAAATCACAGTCCTCCTACCAAGTTAAGAAGAACTTCACTGTTTTCACACAAGAATATGAAAAATCTCTCTTTGTCTCCAAGCTGCCAAAAGACAGAAAACACCAGCACAGTAAAGGAAGGTCTTTCTGAATTCTACAACAAAAATGAGAGCCCTGCAAAGTTGAGACGCACTCCATTGTTTTCGCCCAAGAGCATAAAAACTCAGTCCCCGAATAGAGAGAATAAGAGACCCACTTCTGATGGCCTAGTAGCTGCTTGCAAAAAGCTTGTAAATCTCGCTGTAAGTAGGGGTAGTATGGATGACATTACTGTGATGGTAGTTGATCTGAAGCATTATAAGTTAGACAGGAATGCTTTGCTTTCTACCTTGTAAGATTCGATTGGTTATTTTATAAATACTCGCACTTATTTTTCAGTAAACCAGTATGTAATTCTAACATAGTTCTCTACGAATTTCTCTGACTTAGTCTAATTTGATATGACAATCCTAGAACCAACTTCGTTTTGTCAAAATTGACAACCCATCTGAAGGATTATTTCAGTTAAGTGAACCATATAAGATTATGGGGAGTAGAGGTGAGAGAAATAAACATATTCTTCTCTTTATTGTATTGAATTAAATTTGATCATTTTTGTATATGTATTTTTCAGAGTTTGCATACAAGGGGCTTACATTATGATCTCGAACAATTTCCTAGTAGTAGTGTTGAAAGACTCTGAAGTGTATGATTTTCAAAGACTGCATTTTGCTTTGCGCACTGCTTTGAACAACTAGCCTGTAATTATAGGGTTTTGCCCAAGTAATATATGTGGGGGGGGGGGGGGGGCGGGCGGGCTTACATTATTTAATATACTGCATAAAATGAGCTCTTCATCTCGCATACAACGAGCTTATTATTTTTTATATTAGTAAGAAGCTGCCTATGCCCTATGGTATATTGCTATGAATAATCCTTGATTCGTACCGACAGTGACGGAGCCAGGAATTCCAAACTGGTGGGACAAATAGACATCGCATAGTTTGAAAAACGAGTTAGAAAAAATCTATATCTATATTTATTTAGTATTTAAAAACACAAACCACACATTACTCACATGCCACATGCCACCACAAACCACTCATATGCCACATGTCACCTTCTTTATCAAAAAATAAAGTTCATGTCTTTGTGCATTCTATAACTTGCAAATTTAAGTAAGCAAATTAAGTGTTTCAACTACACCAAAATAAAGTCTTAGTCTTTTCATCTCCTAAACTTAAAATAAAGTAATAGTAAAAAAAAAATTAAAAAAAAAGTTAAGCTAATTAGTTCACATTATATAAACATTTTTTTTTTGAAGGAACACATTATATAAACATATATATAAAGTACAATAAAACAATGCTAACTCATATAACACAAATAAACAACACGTCACAAGGAAAATATTCTAAGTAATAACCCGTGCATGGAACGGGCCAGAAGGCTAGTTAATATTAAAACACATAGATGACACAAATTAATTAGTTATTAAAATACTACTTTCGTTAACTATTCAGTGCAATTTTGAAATTTTCATATCTCATAAATAAAGTCTAGGTTGCACATAATAATTAACGGATATAGTAGTTAAAGTTTTATAACCAAAAATATCCAAAACTAGTTTAGTTCCCGTGCCATGCACGGTATTTTTCAATAACTATTACAAGTATTAAACTACCATTATACTACAATTTTTATCAACATTTTAAAAATATAGTTGATAAATTTTGATTAAAATTAAGGATTACAAAATATATGTTAGATATACAATGATGTAGAAAATTATCAAAATTATTTGTTAAGAATTTTTTTTATAGCTATATAAATATTTTTGTTAAAGATATGACAATTTTTTTTTATATTTTTATTTAAAGTAATTATATTATATAAGATTAGGGAATTATTTTGGTATAATATTTGTTTCTTTAATTGACTTTTATTTAAATTTTTTTAAAAAAAAAATCAAAAAAAAATCATTAAGGACACACCAGAAGATGACACGTGTCATTGCTGATGAGCAATCAATATGATTAAATATATACTGCCAAGGGGATTGAACTTGCACTCATTGTTGTGGGGAAGATCTATGTAATCTAGACAACCACTGCACCAACTAAATAATTATGAATTGTTATTGCGCAAAATTATATATATAATGTATTTTTTTTAAAAGTGAGGGGACAGCTGTCCCCCCTTCTACCCCGCCTAGCTCCACCATTGTGTACAAAAATTGTATTGATGAACATATAGCTATATTGATTGAACATACTGTTAAAATAATGTTCCTTATCAGAGAACATGATGTAGGGCCTATTCACTTCAGCTTAATTTCATTTCATCAGTTCAGTTCAGTTGATTTCAGCTCCAATCAGTTCAATTCAGTTCAACTCCTAATTTCCTTATCTCATAAAATATTCATTTCAGATCAGTTCAGTTCAGCTCCAATCAGTTCAATTCATTTTAGTTCAGTTCAGCTCAGCTCATTAAATGTGAACAAGCTCGTACACTTTTTTTTTTTTCATGTCTATTGTTATATGAGATAATGGTCTTTACTCGTCCTTTTATTGTAAGTGTAACATAATTTTTTTCTGACATAATTAGTTCATTGCCTACTGTGTAAATAATGTTCATTATATAATACTCCCTCCAATTTTAAATACTTGCTCCATTTCTCTTTGACACGCTTGCCGATGCTAATCTTTGATTACTAATATCTTTAATTATCAATAAGTGTAAATTCTAACAATTGAAAATTAATAATATATTCATTGAGATGATTCCGACAAGTACCCACAAGACTATATTTTTTTCTTATGTATAATTCACAAACATTAGTCAAAGTAGGACAAATGAATAGTGCAAAAAATAGAAATGGAACAAGTATTTAAAAACGGAGGGAGTATTACCATATTCTTTATTAATATTACGGATATTCTTTAGGTTTGGAAATCAATTTGAATAGAGAACGTCCCAATGAATATTGTCATCAACCTTCATGATTCTCATTTTGAAACAAATATACCAAGTACGTGCACAGTTAGAAAGTGATAATTAATATTTTACAAAAACATAGAATTAAAATTAATATTATAATAATAATTAAAAGTGGTGTTAAAAACTAATTTAAGAATAACATATGTTAAAACATAAATTATATTTCCCTCAATAGCTCAAAGAAAATAATAGTTAAATTCAAAGAACATAAGAGCTTAATTCAAAGAACATCGGCGCTAAAACACATACAAGATTAACAAAAAGAACAAAAACTTAAAAGAATTACATATGGGATAAAATAAACAAAATAACAAAAGGGATATAATTAATGGAAAATTTTCCCGGAATAATCTCACCTTTATGCCATCCGCTAAAAATAATCTCACATTTGGATTAATTCTAAAAAACCCCACCTTTACCCCCAATCTGCTCCAAATGGTCTCAGGTGACCAGTTACCTGTTAAAAAAGTAATTTTTTGTAAGTTATCAAGTACACGTGTCACCGTACAATTTGTCTAAAATTTTAAATTAAAAAGGAGGGGAGGGGGGGGGTCAGCTAGCCACCACCTCCACCAACCACAGCCACCGCTTTTGATCATCGTCAAATTGCTGCAAATCGAATCGGAGCTCGAGGCTAGGGAGAATGACGGCCCAAAATCGTGGCAGGGAGGCCGAACTCAAGCCAGAAAAAGGGGCCGGGAGGGAGGCTAGAATCGGGAAGGAGATGGTGTTTTCGAGGGTGGCGAGATGAATTTATGGGTTGGAAAAGGGACAAGGGAAGAGGAGAGGGCCGGTAATGTGGCGGGGGAAGGGGGAGGGAGGTCGGGATCGGGACGGGGAATGGTTTCGTAGGTGTTTTTTTTCGTTTGGGCTTCCTCTGTTGGGCGCGAATTGGGCTTGGTGCACCTATATTTAGGTACACCATGGTGCACATAATACTAATTGCTAAAAAACATTAAATTAAGGCTTGAGTAAAGGAGTAAATGAGTGTCCTTCTTTAGTGAACAAGCTCGGTTAAAGCTTCTGTATTAAACAATTGAAATCCAAACAAATATTTAAGCTAAGGCTCGATTATTAAATGAGTTTCACTCAAAAACATAGGATTCGATTAATTAGTGTTCATAAACATCTCATTTACAACTTGGTAAAATCTTGTAATTGCAATCTATACTCTCTCCCTTTTTTTTTTTTCCTCTTTTCTCTTTTTATGCATCATTTTGTGAGTTTTAGGAGAGTAATATAATATTGTGAGCAGATGAATAAATTATTATAGTAAGATGGGGGGGCCATAAAAGACAAAGTGTGTTAGAGAAAGTGAATATGTTTATTATTGAAGCGGAGAGCATAGAAGAGACAGAAATGATAAAATAATTTAAATGAGGTTTAAAGTAAGGTTAGAAATAATAAAATTTACTATAAAGTGATGCATTTAAGGACAAAGTTATACCAAATTATTACGCAGTATAGTAATTAGTAATGTAGAAAAGTAATTATGTTGCATAATTTGGAATTTTTAATAAAGCCAATCTACACTGGCCATAAGATTATCTTCTCCAATCAATATTCAATACCAAATGTATTAGTGAGGAATAGCTTGATCCTAGTGTCCTGAGATCGATTCTAGCCCACCGCTGCTCTTATGGATCTCTAAACACTAAAAAAATAAATTTACTTTTTTTTTAAATTAAAAAACAAATACCATTATTTAGATTTAGTTCCTGTTCACTTCACCTTAAAAAATATTTAGTAAATACAATTTTAGTTCAATAAAAATAATTTCAGTTTAGCAAATATAATTTCAGTTCAGTAAAAATAAGTTTTTTAAGTAAAAATAATTCCTATTTAGTAAAAATTAGTAATTCTAAAGAAGAAATGTAAAAATCAGTAACAATAACTTCTATTCAGCAAAAATAAGGTAAAGTGAACGGAGTTATATTCCATTAAACCAGCTACATTTACCCCCCCCCCCCCCCAAAAAAAATAATCTAAATTCAAATATAGTTATAATTACTTCTTCTGTCGTTAATGATTAATTGCAATAGAGGGGTATTATTTGTATGGGATAAAATATATTCCTTTGTTACTATTAATATTTAGAAAAACTTTTGTATACACCCGTTTTACACTAAAATTAGTGTACATCGAGTAGGGGTAACTTTTAGCTAAATTTAGGGTAACTTTTTGCCTTTTTTTGGATAATTTTAAACATAATACAATTTTTATATAAATAGACAACAATAAAAGTTTTAAAAAGGTAATTTAATTATATTCAATCACTAATAATATTGATTTTTAGTCATTTAAAATGAGATTCTTTACTAATAAAGCATAGATAATTTTTTTATTTGTATTGGGTTACTTTTATGCATATTGGGCAACTTATATTCATTTTAGGGGTAATTTTTTTTATCACTTTAGCTATTTTTAAAATTGATAAACAATAAATATTATAAAGGGGTAATTTTTGATCATTTTAGGCTATCTTCAAAATGGATAGACAATAAATATTATACACTCGATTTTTTTTTAAAGTTTGTGTAATATTTAAAGAAAAAAGTATAATTAGAAAACCTTTATACGACTTTCTAGAGTTTGTTTAGAAAAGTTTCCTAATATGCGTCAACATCACAAACAGATAAATTTAAAAGGGT